AAACCAGATATGGCCAGGTGCATACCTTTATCCCCAGTGCTATGAAAATCAGAGGCAAGAGAATTGCTAGACTTGCTGCTTGCCAGCCTAGCTCAAGGTTTAATATGAGATCTGTTTAACAAGAATAAAGTGGAGACTGATAAAATGGACACCAGATATTTTCTTCTGGCCTGCACACAAACACTTACATGCACATATACCACATCCACAAATACCACACATATATATGCACAAATATAAAAATTAAACTAGCTAATTTAATTGGTACAGTATGCCAAGTGCTATGTATTTCCTGTGCATAGTGTCATCTAATCCCATTGCCAACATTTTTACTCTATGTTACAATTTCAGGAATAAACAAATTAGGTCTCCATGAAATTATGATAGCTTGTTCTAAGAAAATGTTAGTGGTGCATTTTGAATCTTGCCTATTTGGATACCATGGACTCTTAGTTACCACATTGTAAGTATAGTGGATTAGCTAACCCAGGAAGCTACCCCTGGGTAGTATGCTGATGAATGTAAAAGCAAAGGAGATGGCACTAGATGACATCAAGAAGCAGGGATTCCTTCTACCCAGTGGAGTCTTCTCCCCTGAAGCTATTGGTTGGTTGCATCATCCACAAACCATGGAGGATCAGTGGTGGCTTCTTGCACAGGGTTACATGAGTTCTAATAATGTCTTCTTTTAGGAATTTTTCTTATGTCTACTTTAAAAGTTGTACTGAGTAGTATGTTTCTCCTGTTGCTTCCTTGATACAGTGCTTAGAAGGTGCTTTTCTATCTTTTAGATGCAGGCATTGCCATTAAGTATTGATGTCGCTGGAGTGAGCAGTAAGAATATACTCACCCAGATAGAGAACTTGCTAAGTTCCACAGAACCAAGAGAACTAGTGGCACCCTTACCCCTGCCACTGGCCAATCACTCTTACAGCTAAACATCAGTAGGTGTTTTTGCTTATTTCAGTGAAAGAATTTCAGAACCTCAGATGTTCTTTCATGTGAGGATCCAGTTTCCTGGTCTCTGGAATTGGAGCATAGAGATGAATACCAGCCTGACCCTACCTAGATATTAGTAACTGGAGGCCAAAGCATATGTCCTGCCCATATCTATAACTCAGGACCTGGCCCAGAACAGGTCTTACTGCGCATGAAATAGAAAACTGATTTCAAGAAAGAGATAATAGGGAATATGTGATGCTATCATTAATTACATCCATGAATGAAATTGTTTGATGGAGCCAGAGTAGATTTATTGTTTTCTTGTTTCTAATTACTTTAAAACATCTGTTGTCTTCACAGTGTCCCCTTCTCTCCTCTTCTAAACATGGCTTTCTGTTTTACCATGGCTTTCCTTACTGTGACTTCATTCCCCTTACCCATTGCTTTCTATGTTCAAAGCCAAAACAAGGAAGATCAGAGTGGCACCTGGATATAATACAAGCTACTGGCAAAACTCTGAATCTATGAAGCATACCCCAAGAGAGTTTAGTAATAACCAGACCATCCACCAAGCACTTTGGTTTTATAAATAAAGAACAGAGGTTTAAGTCATGAAAAGAATGCAAAATCCAGGTGGAGAAAGGAGTGGATACCAGTTGTATTAGTCAGAAGGCCAAAGAGATCACCCAAATCTCTAGGGTTTAACACTTCAAAGGCTTCTTGACTGGTTGTGGTATATATCTAATGCAGGGGAGGAGAAAGCATAGCTATATCTTGTCATTCACGGACCTATCATCATAGGGGAGAAAACTATATCTTAACTTATGGCTAGTTTCTGGGTTTGCTATTGAGAGAAGAGATGAGGGTTCAGGCCCTCATTTTATATAGGTTCGCCAAAACTAACATCCATCACACCCACTCAGAGCCCACTGGCCAAACCAGTCAAGGAACCATTAAATTCAAGTATGTTGTAAGATAAGGCCTTCTAGATGCTCCAAAAGGACAGAAGGTTTAAACATGCACATGAATAGAGCTTCTTACCACAAACCATGAAGTATACCTGGGGGAAATTAGAAGGTGCTGGCACTCATGCTAGATAATGATGTAACTGAACCTAGTTCCACTCTCCCCAAAACAGAAGGCACCCCTCAAATAGAGCATCCATGGCTACAACTCTCTGATATCAACCTGATTCTAATAGTTGACTCCATGGAGACTGCTAAGTACAAGAATTGCCTGGCACCAACCCTAAAGCCAGCCAGCTGATCATTCTTCAGAGGCAGAGGAGATTCTAAAGTCAAATCAAAGCTGGGGCTATGCCATCTGCTGGTAGTTGATGACTTTGTGTAACCTTTTGAATCCCAAAATAGGCTCAATGAGAAATTGTCTAGTTCAGAAAACTGAGAGAAAGAAAGGGAAATCTATTTAAACTCTTTCTGAATGAGGCTGTACAACTATGTTCTTGGAAGTTACCTTCTGAGTGTGGGTGGTTTATACTACACAATTATGAACCATGGGAAACCATGAACTACATGGCTATTACAAATACATTGAAATGCATTGGATTTTTATATACACATTATAATACATATGCATTAGAATAAATGCATATAACACGTTCCTCACTCTAAATACAAACACTGAGTAAAAATGGATTAATTTTAATAGAAAAATCAGTCTCAACTAAATAAAAGTTAAGTAAAACATTTCTATGAAGATTTGTCAAATTAGCTGCCTGAGGAAAAGACATTTCAACCAGACCCCAGCACAAGGTGGCTGCTTTCTGGGAGGAAAGGGAACACCAACATAGACAAAGACATTGAACTTGGATACACACTGTATATAAGCACTGGTATGTAAGTTACCTATCAATGGAAGAAAACCTACTTAAATTAGCAAATGACAATGATAATGTTTATATCAGAAGATTTGTATTTGAGACACATCTGGTGGCACAGTCCTATAATCCCAGCTACTAGGGAAGCTGAGGCAGGGGAAACAAGGTAAAGATGGTCTTGGGCCACCGAGCAAGTTTAAGGGCAGTTTAGACATCTAAGCAATGCCCAGTCTCCAAAATAAAAACATAGGGGCTGGCAAGATAGCTCCATCAGCAAAGCACTTGTATAGAAAATCACGAAGACCTGAGTTTAACACTCAGAACCTGTGTAAAAGATGCCAGACATGGGTGCTTGCACTTGTAGCATGGGAGAGATGGGGACAAGTGTCTCTCTGAGGTTCTCTGGCCAGCCTGGCCTTCTTGGGGACTTCCAGACTAATAAGAGACCCTATCTTGAAGAAAGTGGTCAATGCCTATGGAAAACCATTCAAGTCTGACCTCTGACCTCCACACATATATGCACTTGAACACACACAAAACTACACACATACTCACTCTCTCTCTCTCACTCTCTCTCTCTCTCTCTCTCTCTCTCTCTCTCTCTCTCTCTCTCTGACACACACACACACACACACACACACACACACACACACACACCCCTTCTTTAAAAAAAGAGCTTTGAAAGGGCTAGGGATATATCTTAGAGGTGTGTGCTTTTCTAGCATGCACAAGGCCCTAGGTTCTGTCTCTAATCCTGAGGGAAAAAAGATTTACCTATTCAGAATTAAATAAATGTAACGAAATGGTATTGAGCATGGCCTACATGATGGATAATTGTTCTTGAGTGCATGAGTAACTAGCAGAGTCATAACCAAAAGTCTTGAACTTGAATCAAGCAACAACAATATGAAGTGGGGACAATGCAATGAAATGTAAGCTTGTTTTTCCTTCTTTCAAACAGGAAAGATAAAGGCTGGCTCCTCAACTTTCACAACAGAGCTCCGAAGATGTCAAAATAAAGGCCAAAGAGACCTATGGACTTGTCTACAAGAGACATTAGAGAAATGAAAGCTATTGAGATGGTCTTTGCTGGATAAGTACAAGGGTCTTTCTCCAGCATGGAACAGCATCCACTCTCAAGTATACAGTATGCAGAGCTGTATATACATACATACAGCAAATGCTCCTATGCTGACCCATCTGCCTCTGTCAAAGGGATTTTGACAATGCTACTATTCAGTCAGGTTCATTCTGCAGGACACAGCAGCAGGTGAGCAGGAAAACACCCAAGAGCCACCTTCCTGCTTTCTGAGCGTGGGTGTGACGGAACAGGTTCAGGATGCTGAGCTGGCAGCCGCAGAAGAGGATTAAACAGGACCTCCCTGCTCCATCTTCACGTTACTGTGATGCTCTTGGGATTTCCCACTTTCTGCTCTTACATCACTGATTGCAGAATCCATCTCTTGTAGCAATCATGGGTTCATGGACACTTTTTTGGTGACTTACGCTTGACATCTGATCAAAAAAGCATTCCAATAGCCTCATAACTGCCTTTTGGATCAACACATTAGAATTTTTGACATATGAGACTTTTTGACAGTTCAATGTTTGTATACCTCAAACTGTCAAAAGTTCTCATATATATATGTTTTCCCTCCCCATTGCCTGCTGCTACTCACTTCCTATGCCTCCAAAGCCCCCTTTCCTGTTGATTCCCTAAATAGATGTGCTGTCAAGCTTCCTTCTAAATATTTATGTTTAATAGCAAGAGGCTGTGCTTCTCTCAGCCTTGGGCAGAGAAATCCTGTTTAGCAGAGGGCAGTGGTAAATACAAAGACTTATATTTGGGCAAAGTGCTGAGAATAATTCATTGTTGACTGTACATCCCTTAACCAGACATTTATCACACACATGGGCACGCACACACACCCATGCAGGCACGCACGGATGCATGCATGTATGCATACCTCTGCATTAGAAAAGAAATGTCAGAAATACTTGATTTTGAGCTCAGAGCCCACTTTGGTAAAGGGAGAACTGTACTTTCACAGTTGTTCCAGATGGCAGGAAATCATCATCGCACAGACCCTGAATCTGTAAGAGGAAGCTCAGAAAATCTACTGGAAAATTTTTGTCAGTAAAACCAACCCCATTTCTGCAAGGCCAAGCCTTCCTTGTGAACACTGTCAGAGCCTAGTGGGATTCTAAACAGTGCCCATACCTCTGAGATGAACAGGTGCCTGTCTCCAGAAGTGCTACATTCCTTGTTCACACTCCGTCTTCAGTCCTTGTGGGAGAGCTGAAAGAAAACCAAAAACAGTCATTAGGTTCTTCCCATTCTGCAGATTTTATAGGCTTCATCACTTGCCTTGGGTCAGAACTCAGTCTCCAAAATTAGTGGACAGACTCCTGCAAAATTAGTGCTCTCTGGCAGGTCCTGTGTCAATGTATAGCTCCAGGTCACATGCTGACTGCATGTCATACATGGAACCAGGAAAAGTTACTGCTCCATGTACAGCCTGAAAATAGGCGAGGGACTGGGAAAGAAGTAGTTACAAGAAGATGCAAAAACTGGAGGTCAACTGAGGCCTTAGGAGCGAACCAGATGTAAAGAAGATCAGGTTCAAATCCCAGCTCAGCCTTGCACTCCTGCTTTCCCATGCACTGCTCTTATCTCCTTCTAACATACTGTATACTTTATCCATTTGTTGTTTATACGTACTTTAAAGCACAAAGTTTATGAAGACAGATGTTTTTGAATGTTCAGGGATATACTTCTGAGCCTAAACAATTTCTGGCACATAACAAACAGGTGTTGCATAAACTGTACTGAGTGAATGAATTAATTACATATCCCAGGCTTTTGGTTACCCTCTTCGAGCCTCAGTTTTCTCATGTATGGTCTAAATGAGGCCTGCATGGACAGATGACAGAATAGGAATATGCCCAACTCAACCTAGACCATAATAATATGTGGCTGTTTTTATTATTCAATATTGGTGATTTGAGACTAAAGGAATCCTAATGAATGTTAACAATCTCAACTTGGGGATGTGGGGGAAGCCTGTCATGTTACATCCTCAAGAATAAGTAATAGAGTGTGCTATAAGAAAAGAAGAAAGAAGAACACAGACATGGCAAAGGGCTAGACAAAACTGCTTGCTGCTTTGACAAATAAACACACTCTGTTTTTGTTTATTGTCTATGCTCTCAACTGTGCCTGAGGACTGACTTCTGGGTCAGCTTTAGGGCCCTAATTTTAACTAACCAGAGGTAGGTGAATCTCCAAAGCCAGGGAAACATGAGCTCTCCCTTGTGGGCACTGTCACAGGCTCTGTGCTCTGAACAAATTCACAGGGATGGAGGTGTCTGCACAGTGACTACACCAAGTAAAACAAGAGGCTTTCCGCTCCATGACACACCTATGACTCAGTCTGCCCAGACAAAGCTGGAGATTAAGTTTCCTTGCCAAATCTGCAAGGAGAAACATGACACCTTTGCTGGCTAGGAGTGGAACACGCTTTATTAACCCAGCCTTAATTATATTCCATTTTGAGATTCAATAGTTTCGATTGCAACATTGCATGAAACCAGGGTGAGCTGCACCCCATGGGACTCTCATTGACAAATGAGACCAGAAAACTGCCTGAGAAACAGTGACCTGCTTATGGCAGCTGGTGAGGGAGGCAGTATGGAGCTAATGCCCAGCTCTGGAGGAGCCCCTGATTTGGCCACATCAGGGCATGGCTGAGTTGGCAGTTACCTGGGTCAGGGAAACTCATTGGAAAGGTCAAAAGTGAATGTGGCAGGATTTATATGATGCCTAAGACCAGGAACTGGGAATGCCATTGTCCCAACCCTGGATGAAGTTCTTTTCATCTCATTATCCTCTCGGTCGTCACTTCTACAAGAAGACAGAAAATGGCCATTGGCTTTAAGGTGCACAGATTAGAGCCAACACTGTACTAAGGAAGGAAATGAACCTTTCACTTTTATTTTGAGGTCAGTTTCTCCGAATATTTTGTCTGACTTTGTAGTTTCCAAATCAAGTCACTGAGAGCACTGTTTCCCCAATGGCTGCCATCAACAGAATTATCTTGATGACTTCCTAGTACTGACCACACTCTTCGTCGGGTAACATGCTTAGAGGTTTTTATGAATTACCTCATTGAAGCACCACAATAGTGTTATGAGGTGAGCATGTACTTTCATTTGTCAAGTTTCTTCATTTAGAAAAAGGGATACATGGGGTTCAACTCAAATCCACACAATACCCAAATAATTACCCTAACTGCCATCCTCTGCCTCCCCCAGCTGCAGCATGCTGAATCACACCTAGTCTTCCATGGCCCAGAAGTTTCAATAGATGGTAGCCTCAGTAATGTTTGTTAATTAATTAATTGAATAGATCATTTTAAAGAGCCTTAGATTGGGAACAAAAGGGTTAGTTGGATGTCAGCCCTGACAGCAATACTCCAACTGGAGTAGAGCCAAGACATCTTCCGGGGTGTTGGTCCTCCCATCTAAACAGAAAAATGGTTGGACTAGATGACCTCTGATCTGATTCAGGGTCTTGCCCCAAGTTCACCTCCCCAACTAGCGTCCAAAGCCAACATTAGGGATCCTCCTGCCTCCCTGCCTTCTTCCCCACACCCAAGTCCACAGACACATAAACAGGTACTTATCCTGACAACACCTTGGCCCAAGTTCCCATGAGTCACGTGTCAAGCTAGGCAGGGATGTAGACATACTCATGATTACTGCTGAAAACACATATTGGTGACTATCTGCCGGAGGGAAGAGTAGTCATTGCAAGCAGGAATCCGTTCTCCTACAGATGGCAGGCATGAAGAATAAGGCCCTCATGAGTGTAAGTAGCCCCTCTCTTCATTCAGAAAATCATTCAAATGCCCCCAAAGAGTCTTCCTGGGCAAAGCACCAAGCATTAGCATTTAGCTATGGTCATTTCTACAAAAAGGTCATGTTGCTCATTGGAAGACTACGTTCAACTGTATGCAGTAAGCACTAGAGAGACAAAGAACACCTGAAGTGGAGAAAGTCAGTAATTCTCACCTCAAGAGCCTGCAATCCTGTGAGAGACCACCAGGATCCAAACTGTATGTGCAGATGTGAACAAAGATGCTAATTCTGGAATAGGTGTAGGAAAGGAGGAAGCCGGGATGGCAATAGGGGCTGACTTCTCAGCAGACTTAGTATTGGAATTGGTTTCTGTTTGCTTCCTTGCTTGCTTTTACTCATTTTTATTTATACAATTTTTATATAATATATTTTGATCATGTTTTCCCTCCTACAACTCTCCCAGATTCTACCTGCTTACCTAACTTCATTATCTCTCTCTCTCTCTCTCTCTCTCTCTCTCTCTCTCTCTCTCTCTCTCTCTCTCTCAAAGCAAAAAATCAAAACAAAAATACCAATAATACAAAATTGCCAAAAACAAAACAAAAAGCAAGCGTGCACACACACACACACACACACACACACACACACACACACAAAATGAATGAATAAATAAATAACTCATAGAATCTGCTTTGTGTTGGCCAGCTAAGCCTGGACATGGCACCTGCCCTCAACCTTGACAAAAAGAAGGGACTTTTACAAGAAGAAAGGCAAATGGGGAGCAGGCACTTGTTATCTCACAGTGGTACGCACCTATGCACACATACATATGGGGTGCCCAGATACCGAGTGTCCCTTTGCACATACCTGTATGCACTCAACTCGGTTTCTGTGGTTTCAGTCCTGAGCCTGCTCACTACCCATTAGGATGGTCAGTCACTCATCCCCAGATAGCAAAATCAGAACACATAGCTCTTCACTGCAATTTATCTCTATGTTTTACTTTTTCAGCCTTGTTCACCAAAACTGCCTTTCACTTTTCTGTTGGATAGTGAGAAGGCTACAACTTTCTTCCTTTTCCTTCTGACATATAATCTATCTTTTTCCAAAAGCAGGCATACCAAAAACCACATTCTGAGATGCTCCAAAAAACAATGGGTGCATTTAGATGTGTACCCAGTCTAAAAACAGAGAGAGAGAGACTTGCAAGTTCATTTTATGGGTCCTGTGTCATTCCCAAAGGATCTAGGTTTTTCCCTATTTTAAGACCCCCATAAAACTTAAGGTGAGGGCTGAGGATAAAGCTGAATTGGAAGTGCTTGTCCAGCATGGTTGAACCCTCACCACTGCAGCACCACACAACAAAACACTTGACATGGACATATAACTTCGTAATGTAATTCAGAACCCCAGTCCAAAGGTCACTAAAGAAATCCCAGCCCATCATCACCTTTGTATGTATTACTACAGTTGAAATTGGATTTATAATTCTCTGTGTGTGTGTCTCTGCCTCTGCCTCCGCCTCCGCCTCTCTCTCTCTCTCTCTCTCTCTCTCTCTCTCTCTCTCTCTGTATAGCTCTGAGGACAAACAACCTTGAACATTCTTCCCCAGATAGTAATCTACCTTTTTTTTAAATGAGGTTCCTTACTAGCCTAGGACTCACCAAGTAGACTAGGCTAGCTAAATAGTGAGTGCCAGATACACTTATCTCCACCCACCATGCACTGGGATTACAAGTGAGCACCACCCTTGCCCATCGTGGTATCTGATCCAACTCAGGTACCAGTGTTTACAAGACAAGCACTTTACCAACTGAGCCATTGCCTAAGCTTTATAATTTTAAGTAGTTGAGAAAAATAAGACTAATAATCTCTGACATGTGAAACTTTACATTTCGGTGTTAATAAATAAAGTTTTATTTAAACATAGCCAGGCACATTCATTTTCTTACTGTCTGTGTAGGGCAACAGCAGATTGCTTAGACAGAGATCAAATAGCCAGCAAAGTTTAAAATATTTACTGTCTAGTACTTTATAAAATATGTATACAGCAGCTCGAGTGTGATGGAAGCAGGTTGCCATACTAGACACAATGATTTTCTTTTTTCATTTTTTTTGTTTGCTTTTTGTTGTTGTTTTAGATCTTAAAATCAAAGAGAAAAGAAAAAAACACCTAAATGTCAGTGGTTTTGTTCTAAGAACTAAAGGATTAATTTAACCTTTGAGCCACACTAAATCTTGGCCTTTGTCTTTTTTTTTTTCTCCCACTTTTTAATTTAAGTTAGAAACAAGATTGTTTTCCATGCCAAAGCCAGTTCCCTCTCCCTCTCCTCCTCCCCTGCCCCCCACTAATATCCTACCTATCCCATACCCTTTCTGCGCCCCCCCCAGGGTGAGGCCTTCCATGGGGGATCTTCAGAGTCTGTCATAGCCTTTGGG